CCAAAGACATAGCTTGTTGTTGCATAACAAAAATGTCTTATAGCACCTGGTTGTTGTCAGACTAATGGGAAAAAAAGCACAGAGTGGCACGGAGCTCTGGCAAAAACGTCCATCACATTACCCCCCCAGTTTCCAATTTCTAAACCTCTACATTCTAAACCTTCTTCAGCAGATTATTAAACACTGAATGATTTCAAGCAGGAACATTGTCATCTAATCATTGTCATCATAATTTTTCTTTATTCAGATTGTGGCACTGCAGTTTGCCAGAGATCAGCTGTGCTTCTCTGGCCTCAGTTCTGAAGTCCAACCCCTCCCATCTGAGAGAGCTGCAGCTGAGTGACAACAACTTGCAGGATTCAGGAGTGAAGCTGCTGTGTGGTTTTCTGGAGAGTCCACACTGCAGACTGGAGACTCTGAGGTCAGTTCACTGACTCTCTGTTACTATTGTAGATCTGATATGTTTAATTAACAATTGAATCTAATTTCTGTTCATATATAACTTCCATCCATAAAGTTTGTTCATATTTTCATGTTTCTTGTACTAAATTTAGTCTGCAGTCACAAAGACTTTTGTTTCTTAAAGAAACTATAGAAAATGTCCACTGTTAGTAGTTAAAGTAAATTATTGTTTCTAATTTTTGGTAAATGGTCACATCTGTATACAGAACATCCTCTGAACGAAAATTTGTTTTAATCTAGGGCTGAGCACGTTAACGTGTTATCACATGAATTAACGGCGACAATTATTTTATTGCACGTTAACGCAGTTTTAATTATTATAATTTTGAAAGTCCGCTGCTCACTGGCTCTGAATACACATACTGGGGCTGAACGATTAATTGCATTTGCAATATGATCGCCATGTGATAAAACGAGATTACACTGCGATTACACTCTGGTGACACGCGAGAGTAAGCATCAACTACGCACATTACGCTGTACCTTGACTTTTTGTTGTACAATGGCCTTAAGCTTGACAGAAGCTGACACTACAGAAACTTTAGTCTCACACATACACTGATTTACTGCTTGTCCGTTTTGAATAGTACAGAAGGTAAAGAGCTTAAAAATTTTATCGCATATTAAATCGCAATATTGGTAAAAAAAAAAATAGCAATTAGGTTATTTTCCAAAATCATTCAGCCCTAACACATAAAGTCAAACCATGGGTCACAGGAGGGGCGAGATGTTGATCAGCCTGCAAATCACCCACCCAAAGAAGCAGTGGAGGGAAGCTACGGCAGACTACGCTGGATGCAGTGTGTGGGAAAGTAGATAAACAAAAGCAAGACAAGCGAACAAATGTAAATGTAAACGTACTTTAGTGTCACATACACATTCATGTATCGAAATTCATCCTCTGCATTTAACCCATCCCTGAAGGGAGCAGTCGGCAGCCACTGTACTCCAGAATGAAATGCCATGCCAGGTCAAACTGCACGGAGGACCTACCTAACATGTTTTTGATGGTGGCGGAAAACGGCACACCTGGAGAAAACCCACGCAGACACGGGGAGAACATACAAACTCCGCACAGAAAGGTTTTTTTAGCGTTTTCAAGAAATATTTGTAAGCTTAAAATTGGGCCATTTTTTCGCGGATCAAAATCGGCTTGGTCCAGACATCGTCCGTGCACCAAATTTTGCACAGGCCCTCGGGGGTGTCCCACATTATTGGTCCAAATTTGGTGTCTATTGGCCATTCCAAACCTAAGAGATGACATCACTTCCTGTCTTTAGCGGGGGGTTTTTGCAAACATTTGTTATCTTATATTTACGGCATTTTTTGTCGCATCAAAATTTCCTCTACAAACTTTTATCAGCTTCATCCAGAGATGGTCGGTGCCAAGTTTGGTGCCGATCTGACTTGCGGCTTCGGAGGAGTTAATTAAAAAAGGGTTTTCAGTTTTTGCGATTTTGCAGAAAAAACTATAGGCGAAAATGGGCGTGGCCTATACCAGTAGATTCAGCTCGGTCCCCCGAATGCGTGGATATAAGGTTTTTGATATGCACCTTTTGTAGGCGGAAGTTCAAAGGCCAAATGCGTTGACCTTGCTTATAGCGCCCCCTAGAGGTAGAAGTGTGGGAATTTCTGTGCCTGAGGTCATTGACAATGGTTGGACCTACCTTGTCAGGGCTCTACAGTGCGACCATTTTGCTTGCATATGCCCCTAAAATCGATACGTGTGAACCGGAAAAATGATTTATGAGCACAATGTGCGAGTAACTATAATCTACCGTAGGCTAATCCCCCACCCCGCCCGCCTTCGTTCGGGTTTGTTGACTATGAAGCAGAGGCTAGGCTACTAGCAGTTGAAAATTCCGCTGCAGCACAAGAGCTGAGGATTGTGGAGCTTGAAAAGCTGGTCATTGCCCTCATTGAGAGTTTGGACATGGCAGAGAACTACAGCAACCTAAACATTAGAGTCGTCGGCTTGGCGGAGGATACAGAGACTGGGCAGCGGGTGGAGTTTTTCAAGTCATGCCTACCTCGCATCCCAATGATGACCACAAAAGACAGCCGCATAAAGCTGGAGAGAGCCAAATGCACCTCTGCGCCGAAACCGGACCCGAACAGGTTCAAAACACCCCAGGCCCGAGTAGCGGCAGGACGCGACGCAAAGCTGGTGTCAATCATATCAGAGTTGTTAAAACTCTTGCAGGAAAAAAGCCAGCTAGTCACCGGAGCACCGAGAGATATCCCGATGGACGGGTAGCCCGGGGGCCGCTTGAGCAACTCATTACAAAAACAAAGACAGAGATGTCAGCAGCGGGAGAGGTGAGACAGAAGACAGTACGGAGAAGATAAGGAGGTTGTGGTGTTGGCTAGCTGGAGATTTAGCTATATCAGGGGCTTATGATGAAACACATTAAATTTTTCCAAAAATCGATGTGCTCCTCAGTTTCACTTTTCGTTATCTGACCAATCACAGCCTGGATGGGGCGGGACATAAAGTTTTAATGGTTCAGTAAACTTCTAAAATGTTGAACTCCTATGCTTCTGATTATGGAGAAATCAAGAGACCAATGTAGGCCATCAACTGCTGTCTGACTGGAATAAATATTATACAGGTGGTGAGCTATATAGTATATTATTACATAAAATGACAATGCATATAGTTAAATTAAATCATTAATATATTAACATACTAACGGTACACTTTATTTTTTGATTAAAATTTAACTTTTATCTATATATTATTATAATAATACTGTATAAATACTAATACATTCATTTAAACTAGTTTCTCCATTTTGTAGAAAGAGCCTCTGCAGTGGAAAGATGCAGATTTCCACTACACTGAACAGTGTGCCAGTATGTGCCTCCAGCCTCCTTCTGAGAGCAACACGTTCCCCTTGTTCTATTTTACTAAAGTGAATGTAAAGTGTGATTTATACTTCTGCATTGAATCGACGGCATAGCCTATACGTTAACAATAGTATTGTAAATCTGTCCCTGGTTCAAAAACTACCAATCCCAGTAAAGTTTTAGTGATGAGTGATCAGTGTTTTAAAAGCTGTTTTCAATGTCAATTTTTTTCTTTAATTCTAAATGCAGCTGTTTAAAGGATCAATATAGTTTCTCTCCTGTAGTTCCAGACTGGCCTGAGATAAGCAGCATGTCATTGATCTGTGTTGACATAAATAGTTATATGAATGTTGTGCTGACATTATGATGATCCACAATAACACGATGACAAAGTCCCTCTTCTCATTTTAAGGAAAAGCTCATTGATTAGGACATAGTAATGTTGAGCTCCACATTTAAAACCTGAACACATCTGATTGGATTAGAAATGTATTTTTGTCTCCATCATTTATTCTTCATTCAGATTGTGGCGCTGCAGTTTGTCAGAGATCAGCTGTGCTTCTCTGGCCTCAGCTCTGAAGTCCAACCCCTCCCATCTGAGAGAGCTGGACCTGAGTGACAACTACAACCTGCAGGATTCAGGAGTGAAGCTGCTGTGTGGTTTTCTGGAGAGTCCACACTGCAGACTGGAGACTCTGAGGTCAGACACCATTTTTTCCTTCTGTGCTGAGATTAATATGATGTGAAAGTTGTGGTGACACTAAACTGCAGACATAATGCTGATATCATACTGATCCACACTGAGGATCTTAATGCTATTTTCTTCTTTAGTGGTTTAGTCCATTGACTGTGGCAGAGCAATGTTGAGCTCCACATTTAAAACCTTAAAATAGCAAGAAACATCTCCACTGGATAATTCACTCTGCAGCTCTTAAACTCCTGATTTTTAGCTTCTGTTCTCCATGTTTAAAATAAATGATAATAAATACAATAAATAAATAATCTCTATTTCAACTGTCAGACAATAACAAATATATTCAGTATGTTTTTTTCCAACATTGTTATGAAGCTATATGATGCTCATGCTGACTGAATAGTTTAAAGTGAAGAAGCTTTGATTTTATGACTCCACTATTGCTAAAAGAAATATTGTAGATGTCTTTTGTTCACATTCCCCCAAAGTTCATCCTGACATATTTGGCATCTTTGGAAACTTTGGGATCTTGAGTGGAATCTTAAATCAGCTTCTGTGGGTTTTTCTTTGTGTTTGGCTGCATAACATGAGTTTGTATAGATGGAGCCACTGGTGGAGCTGCAGAGTTTAAGAGGTGAAGTCACTACGTCTTTATTGAAGTAGCAGCACGTTGTCATTAATATTAATGAGAGCTCTTTTTACCTTTTTGTATTTTACAGTTTGAACCTGCATCCTGTTGGGTTCAGGTGTTTGGAGTTTCCATTTTCTAAACTTCTACATTCTAAACCTTCTTCAGCTCTGAACAGATTATTAAACACTGAATGATTTCAAGCAGGAACATTGTCTTCTAAAGTTACATCATTTATTCTTTATTCAGATTGAGGTTCTGCAGGTTGTCAGAGATCAGCTGTGCTTCTCTGGCCTCAGCTCTGAAGTCCAACCCCTCCCATCTGAGAGAGCTGGACCTGACTAACAACCAAGAGCTGCAGGATTCAGGAGTGAAGCTGCTGTGTGGTTTTCTGGAGAGTCCACACTGCAGACTGGAGACTCTGAGGTCAGTTCACTGACTCTGTTAGTATTGTAGATCCTTTAATTAATAATTGAACCTAATTTCTATTCATACATAACTTCCATCCATAAAGTTGTAAATGTCCTTTTGTTGATCATGTTTCTTGTACTAAATTTAGTCTGCAGTCACAAAGACTTGTTTCTTAAAGAAAATGTCCGCTGTTAGTAGTTAAAGTAAATGAAAGTTTCAAAATTTTGGTAAATAGTCACATCTGTATACAGAAGATCATCTGAACTAATATTTGTTTTAAACTGATCGAGTTTTCTGCTGAAGTAGAAATATTTCTTTGTCTGTTGATTTCAATGTGTTTTCACGAATAATGTCTGATCATTGATATTGATCCTTCAGAACACACACACACACACACACACACACACAAATGCAGCTGTTTAAAGGAGCCTTCACTAACAAAGACCACGCCAATGTGAGGTATGAAAAGGTAGTTTATTAGGATAATGAGGAGTGTTTATGATGGAGGGATTGAGAGGAGAGAGGTGAAGGAATCAAAAATGGACAAGGTTAAGGATTTGGGGGCCGGAGTGGCTAGGAACCCGGGGGTTGAGCCTCAGGATGGGGGCTCGTTGTCAGGGTTGTGAGGGGTTGAGAAAGTTGGAGAACACAAACGCAGGACACGGAGCAAGCGGGTGCAGTTCAAAGAAGGTTTAATTCCAACAAACAAAAGCGAGCACACTTACAACTGAGTGTCTGAATCCATAATCCAAAATAACAGAGTCCAAATAAAACAGGTGATTCAACAGAAACCCAAAATCCACAGAAACAGGGTGACATGACAAGCAGGGCAGGCAAAACAATACAACATGAGACAGAGCGTTTACACACTTCAATGACCGGACAAACACTGAGGGGAAACAAGGAAGGATATATACACAGGGTTAACGAGCTGGGAGGAGACACACAGGTGAGGGACATGAGGCCAACGAGACACAGGCAGGCAGAGAGAGCAGGGGGAAACAGAGAGACTCGCAGGCAGATTACTGAGGGGGGAAAAGAAAAACACAAGTTACTCAACACTAAACATCAGAGTAATATAAATAAACTAATACAAGCAGACAGATCACCAATAAACTAACACCAACAAGGAACACAGACAGAAGCTAAGGTTAAACAGAACTCAGAGCAGACATGGGCAAAACAACACAGACCAGGCGTAAACACATAAGACATGAACTAAAGGTACAGGACTAAGAACTAAGACACCGAACTAGGAACTAAGATACAAGACAGATACTAAGTAACTTAAAGATGTGGATCAATAATAAAGGCTACACAGAGACTAGAGCAGAATGGTCAAAATCAGATTAATTAATGAAACTGGCAGAGAACATAAATAGACAAACAGAAAGAACTCAAGCATGATGGTACAGAAACTAATACATGAGACTGGAACAGAACTGAAATCAGGAAAATACCTAAACACCAGCTGACAGATAATAACATCAGGTAGAGGACGCACACTAAAGGTAGCAAGCAAACTAAAACTAAGTCTAAACTGACAGCACAGCAAAAGGTATTCTAAGTAATAAGACAAGGTGGCTAAGGGAGACAAGATAACAGAACAACACAAACCACGAAGACTGGATACAAGGCCACAGACTATATAACAGATACCTAACAGAAAAATGAATAAACTCAGAACTAAATGGAACAGATGACTGGTCTAACATGCAGATACAAAACCAAACCCTCAGAATCAAAACCCAAAAACACAGCACTCAGGACAGGATTGTGACACTCGTCTCAATCAAACCCCCCTGTGGTTCCTGTTGTAGAAAATGGACAAACATAATTACTTTGGCAGATTTATGGATCTTAGCATGGCTGTCTTTGATGGTGGGATGAAACCAGAGCACCCAGGGGAAACCCACGCAAACACGGGGAGAACATGCAAACTCCACACAAAGGTCTGAACCCAGGATGTTCTTGCTCTGAGGTAGCAGTGCTGTGCACTGGGCCACCGTGCTGCCCATTAAAAGAGGTGAGAAAACAGGGGAAACGGGAGAGAAAGGGGTCAGACAGATTCATATACGTATGTACATGTGATTGGATTAGAGAGGCACAGGTGGATGAAATGAGTGAAGCACGGGTGGTTGGATAGGAGGAATTGAATGAGGAGCAGATGGTCAAATTATTAAGAGAGAGTTGTGGTCCTGTTCCTGAACTTCAGTTACATAACTCCATATATAGTGTTTCTCCTCTAGTTCCACACTGACCTGAGATCAGCAGCATGTCATAGATCTGTGTTGACATGAATAGGTGTATGAATGTTGTGCTGATATTTGGATGATGTCTGTAGAAAGCTGACATTATGATGATAAGTCCCTCTTCTCATTTTAGGGAAAAGCTCATTGATTAGGACATATTAATGTTGAGCTCCACATTTAAAACCTGAACACATCTGATTAGATTAGAAATGTATTTTTATCTCCATCATTTATTCTTCTTTCAGATTGTGGCGCTGCAGTTTCTCAAAGATCAGCTGTGCTTCTCTGGCCTCAGCTCTGAAGTCCAACCCCTCCCATCTGAGAGAGCTGCAGCTGAGTAACAACCAGCTGCAGGATTCAGGAGTGAAGCTGCTGTGTGGTTTTCTGGAGAGTCCACACTGCAGACTGGAGACTCTGAGGTCAGACACCATTTTTTCCTTCTGTGCTGAGATTAATATGATGTGAAAGTTGTGGTGACACTAAACTGCAGACATAAGGCTGATATCATACTGATCCACACTGAGGATCTTAATGCTATTTTCTTCTTTAGTGGTTTAGTCCATTGACTGTGGCAGAGCAATGTTGAGCTCGATGTCTATGAAGATTCTCAGTCATCCAGGTCATTGAGCTCCACATTTAAAACCTAAAAATAACAAAAAACATCTCCACTGGATAATTCACTCTGCAGCTCTTAAACTCCTGATTTTTAGCTTCGGTTCTCCATGTTTTAAATAAATTTGAGTAATAAATATATAAATACAATGAATAAATAAATAATCTCTATTTCAACTATTGGACAATAACAATTACAGTGGGTACGGAAAGTATTCAGACCCCTTTAAATTTTTCACTCTTTGTTTCATTGCAGCCATTTTCCAAAAATCAAAAAAGTTCATTTTATTTCTCAGTAATGTACACTCAGCACCCCATCTTGACAGAAAAAAACAGAAATGTAGAAATTTTTGCAAATTTATTAAAAAAGAAAAACTGAAATATCACATGGTCATAAGTATTCAGACCCTTTGCTCAGTATTTAGTAGAAGCACCCTTTTGATCTAATACAGCCATGAGTCGTTTTGGGAAAGATGCAACAAGTTTTTCACATCTGGATTTGGGTATCCTCTGCCATTCCTCCTTGCAGATCCTCTCCAGTTCTGTCAGGTTGGATGGTAAACGTTGGTGGACAGCCATTTTCAGGTCTCTCCAGAGATGCTCAATTGGGTTTAAGTCAGGGCTCTGGCTGGGCCATTCAAGAACAGCCACGGAGTTGTTGTGAAGCCACTCCTTCGTTATTTTAGCGGTGCGCTTAGGGTCATTGTCTTGTTGGAAGGTAAACCTTCGTCCCAGTCTGAGGTCCAGAGCACTCTGGAAAAGGTTTTCGTCCAGGATATCCCTGTACTTGGCCGCATTCATCTTTCCCTCGATTGCAACCGGTCGTCCTGTCCCTGCAGCTGAAAAACACCCCCACAGCATGATGCTGCCACCACCATGCTTCACTGTTGAGACTGTATTGGACAGGTGATGAGCAGTGCCTGGTTTTCTCCACACATACCGCTTAGAATTAAGGCCAAAAAGTTCTATCTTGGTCTCATCAGACCAGAGGATCTTATTTATCACCATCTTGGAGTCCTTCAGGTGTTTTTTAGCAAACTCCATGCGGGCTTTCATGTGTCTTGCACTGAGGAGAGGCTTCCGTCGGGCCACTCTGCCATAAAGCCCGACTGGTGGATTGCTGCAGTGATGGTTGACTTACTACAACTTTCTCCCATCTCCCGACTGCATCTCTGGAGCTCAGCCACAGTGACCTTTGGGTTCTTCTTTACCTCTCTCACCAAGGCTCTTCTCCCCCGATAGCTCAGTTTGGCCGGACGGCCGGCTCTAGGAAGGGTTCTGGTCGTCCCAAACGTCTTCCATTTGAGGATTATGGAGGCCACTGTGCTCTTAGGAACCTTAAGTGCAGCAGAAATTTTTTTGTAACCTTGGCCAGATCTGTGCCTTGCCACAATTCTGTCTCTGAGCTCTTCAGGCAGTTCCTTTGACCTCATGATTCTCATTTGCTCTGACATGCACTGTGAGCTGTAAGGTCTTATATAGACAGGTGTGTGGCTTTCCTAATCAAGTCCAATCAGTATAATCAAACACAGCTGGACTCAAATGAAGGTGTAGAACCATCTCAAGGATGATCAGAAGAAATAGACAGCACCTGAGTTAAATATGAGTGTCACGGCAAAGGGTCTGAATACTTATGACCATGTGATATTTCAGTTTTTCTTTTTTAATACATTTGCAAAAATTTCTACATTTCTGTTTTTTTCTGTCAAGATGGGGTGCTGAGTGTACATTACTGAGAAATAAAATGAACTTTTTTGATTTTTGGAAAATGGCTGCAATGAAACAAAGAGTGAAAAATTTAAAGGGGTCTGAATACTTTCCGTACCCACTGTATATTCAGTATTTGTTTTTCCAACATTGTTATGAAGCTAAATGATGCTCATGCTGACTGAATAGTTTAAAGTGAAGAAGCTTTGATTTTATGACTCCACTATTGCTAAAAGAAATGTTGTAGATGTCTTTTGTTCACATTTCCCCAAAGTTCATGCTGACATATTTGGCATCTTTGGAAACTTTGGGATCTTGAGTGGAATCTTAAATCAGCTTCTGTGTTTTTTTCTTTGTGTTTGGCTGCACAACATGAGTTTGTATAGATGGAGCCACTGGTGGAGCTGCAGGGTTAAAGAGGTGAAGTCACTACATCTTTATTGAAGTAGCAGCACGTTGTCATTAATATTAATGAGAGCTCTTTTTACCTTTTTGTATTTTACAGTTTGAACCTGCATCCTGTTGGGTTCAGGTGTTTGGAGTTTCCATTTTCTAAACTTCTACTTTCTAAACCTTCTTCAGCTCTGGACAGATTATTAAACACTGAATGATTTCAAGCAGGAACATTGTCTTCTAAAGTTACATCATTTATTCTTTATTCAGATTGAGGGGCTGCAGTTTGTCAGAGATCAGCTGTGCTTCTCTGGCCTCAGCTCTGAAGTCCAACCCCTCCCATCTGAGAGAGCTGGACCTGAGTGAGAACGAGCTGCAGGATTCAGGAGTGAAGCTGCTGTCTGATCTTGTGGAGAGTCCACACTGCAGACTGGAGACTCTGAGGTCAGTAGAGGGTTGGAGTCAGTCCATGCTGGTTTCAGCAGTATTGTACTGAACACAGTTAGTATCAAAGCAGAGATCCAGAATTTCCTGTAAACCTCCAACCTTCTCAGCGGCTGCTTTCCTAAGTGTCTTCTGTCCAATCCTGAAGCCTGTCACCATTCTCCTCTCACAACTTCAGAGAGAGAACAGGCAGCCAATCAGATCAGCCAGAAGCTTGTTGTGATCATGTGTTTGAGTCGACTGTTGTTGTTGTGTTCATGTCTCCAGGAAATAAAGCTGGATCCCAGCTGACAGCATCACAAGATGTATAGAGACAGTGGTCCTCATTCATCAAACTGTCGTACCATCAAATCTGATCTCAAAGTGTTTGTTCTCTCATTTCAACACTAAACTTCTGATCAGTTCATCTTTGTCACAGCTCTGAGATCAGTCTGACTGAAGCCTGCAGATCACTGGCTCTTATTTCAGAGAACCATCATTACATTTAGTAACCATGTGGTCTTTCTTCAGAGCAGAACCTCTGCTGAAGTCCAGTAACCACAGCTGATGTTTAGCTGTTCAGTCTTTGTATGAACATGTAGGACCTTTAACATCATATATATATCTGTCCATGTGTCTTTAGTTTGGTCCAAATTTTATTTTAAATTTAAATTTTTATTACAGAAGCACCCTAACTTCGTAAAATTAACTCTTCTAACTTTGAGATAACTGATGTGTTGCGATTTGATGACAAAACGCTCATTAGTAGATACAGGCTACCCCGAGCGATGATCGGTTAGTCGAGCAACTACGACCAGTGTTGGAAATGCCGAGCCAAAGTGAAGTGGCTGACATATAGTATCACAGCCCGCTATGTCACGCAATTTAACAGAGGTGGCAACAGCAATTAGCAATTTGGCTGATCGGTACATACAATTTCCAAGATGAGATGAACTCACTGCAATCAAGGCTGCTTTGTACCACAAGTATCAGATGCCTGGTGTAATTGGACTGGTTGATGGGTCTTTGTTTCCCATCAAAGCCCCCAGTGGGGAGGATGAGTCAACATGTGTGTGCCGCAAAGGATACCATGCTATCAACATCCAAACCATAGGGGATCGTAACATGATGATTAGGCATTTGATAGCGCAGTGGCCCGGCTCAACTCACGATGCTTTCATCTTCAACACAAGGCAAGCAATATTTCAGGGCCATCCTGACTAAACAATACAACTTACAAACCTTATCTCCGTCATTGCAGCACCATCTAGTGGACCTTAGCAGCCTAAATATAAAGTTATTCAAATCAGGGACAATTTGCTTCATAAGTCCTATGAAGTCTCCTGAAACAGCACCACAACACAGCTTTACAATATTTTTAATCTCTTTGTTCAAAAATAAGGAATAGGGGGGATTCATTTTGGCAACATTTTAAAATTGTGATTATTAGTTAGTTAGGCCTACTAGTTAAGCTAAGTAGCTTATGTGAGCCCTTTTTCAGCAATTCCCTGCACTCAAATAAATAGACCTACATTCACAACTAAAATTCAGGCCAATACGCATGAAATATAAATTTGCAAGGAATAATTTTGTTTCATCCATCCTTCTAGCTTTGTTTTATTTCTAACACTTAAGCATGTCTGCAGTGACATCAGTGCTTATGTGGAGGAAAGAGGCCAGAGTGGCTGGCTGCTTGGTGACTCTGGGTATCCCTTAAAGTCATTCCTAATGACACCAGTGGGAAACCAACGCACAGCAGCAGATATGTGGTAATTTATAAACATCTTTGTGTCATCTAAATAGTAGGACTACTATAATTTTGTTGGTAGACCGCTATCAATTTATTTTTTATCTATTAGGTAAAACAGGTTCACAGAAAATGCAGGGCGAGACAGGAGCGTCTGTTTGGATTCTGGAAGAGCAGGTATTAGCCGTTCAATGTTATTGAACTGACAGGAGGCTAAACATCTCAAATGGGCTTAATTTTGTAAATATTGTTGAGATATCAGATGGAGATGCCATGACACAAGTGGAGGTTACCTCCAGTATTCACCAGAGAAAGTGCTCTTATTCATCAAAGCCACAGCAGTGCTTCACAACCTATGTAGATTGGCAAACCTCCCGGACCCTGAGATAGACGCAGACCCAGCAGAAGCGATGAAGCTGAAGAAATGCAGCTAATCCAGGATTTCTTTGCAAGACA